CGGCTGGCAGGAAAGTTGACATTTTAAACCTTAATAAAAAAATCGATACAGGACTTTAGAGTATCGATATAGTATCGGGAAATGAAATATCGCGATATTTCAGTGTATCGATATTTTCTTACACCCCTACCATCTGTCATACTGATTGTTCATAAATCTTCAGCTTGTAGTTATCTCATGCTAACTGTCAAGTTGCAGAATTGTTAAGGCAGGTTTTTCTTCTCTTTCTAAATGTACATAGGTGCTGTCAGACATTTTTGAATATAACTGTTCAAATTCTTTGTGCACACGTAATCAAGATAATTTGGATGTTTTCCATCTCTTCAAGCTTGAAGTGGCCAGAGCATATGTGGACTATCACATGAAAGAGTTTGGCTATAAGAAGCCAAATGTCAGTTTTGTCCAGGGTTACATTGAAGCTTTAACTGAGGTGGGTCTGGAACAGAACTCCTTTGATATCACCATGTAAGATTTCASTCTTTTTGCACCTTATTTGGCTAGCTTTAGTCCACTCAACTGCTTAAAACTTTGCTGCTTGTTGCCACCTTGTAGTTCCAACTGTGTGGTGAACCTCTCTCCGGACAAGAAGAGGGTTCTGGCTGAAGTTTACAGCGTACTCAAGGTAAACTCTTTTACATTCAGCAACATTGTGTATTATAAAATATGCAGTTTGCTTAAATAATCACCTCAAAGGTGTTTCTACTCATCAGGAAGGTGGTGAGCTGTACTTCAGTGACATCTACTGCAGTGGGAGACTAACAAAGGAAATTAAAAATCACAAAATCCTGTGGGGTGCGTTAAGTTTATGTCATAAAACCACGAACACCAGCTAAGCTATCAGTATTTTCCTTTGCTAGTGAAATAATTGTGGCCAATCTGTTGCTGATTTACAACTCCCCTATCACAAAATACAAACAAAAAACTGCTGCTGGTTGGCATCAAAATTCTGGCACATTAGCAACATTTTTACCACTTTCAAACATCTAATCTTGATGCTGACAACCACAGCTGGACAGTTCTGCAGAAAGTTAAAGTCTGAGTAACACAGCAGTGGTTAAACTTGTCTCCTGTTAAAAGGTTGCAGGACTGGGGCTTTTTTGTGTAGAGTATACATGTTCTTCCCGTGCATTAGTGGGTTTTCTCTGGGAACAGTTTGTATCAATATATATTTTGAAGGAAGCCAACAATAGTAATTAAAGGGCTAACATTCCTGGAAGGAATGCATGTTGCACTCCACCTTTAATGCCAAAGTTGTACAAGATTTAAGTTTTGAGTTCTTACTGTCAAAACCTTAAAATCTTTTTGCATCTAATCTGAAGGTGCTTGTTGTGAATGACTTTGTGAAGTTAAGCTCAGTGTCTGTAACATGTATTGAAGCATAGCAATTTTAGTGAAAGCTGTGGCTGAAAAGATCTCGATCAGCTGAATGGCTTTTTTTATGATTTTTTTTATGTTTTTGATGTGTTAGCACTGCTACTTCATTACAAAATGTTTTGAGGTTTGAATGTTCTTGTCAGCTGTTCTTTTTGCACTCTTAGCAGAAAAAATAGTTAAAAAAACATTATTTTCTGCAGGACATACAATAAACACTTACAGTTGAGTCCAAGTATTACTGTAGTTTTTTGAAAGTCCATCAAATCGGCCCCAAATCCATCAGCAACAATATGATAATAAATATGAACGTTTGTCCTTATTGCACATTTGCATCAGTCAGTGATGGCAGATTGGTAAAATGTTTGTAACAGTTGGATTATCTTTGCAGGGGAGTGTCTTGGCGGGGCGCTCTGGTGGAAGGATGTGCTGGAACTGGCCAATGAAGTGGGTTTCAGTGTTCCACGACTGGTTACAGCCAATGTTGTGACAGTTGACAACAAAGAACTGGAGGACATACTGGGTACTTTTATATATATTTGTATTTTGTTTGTCTCGAAGGTTGCAAGATTGCTTTCTTTGTGCACATATGGGTTTTCTCTGGGTATTCTAGTTTTCTCCCACAGACCAAACACATGCTTGTTAGGTTCATCGATAACTCTAAATTGTCCCTATAGTTGTGAGTGAGAGCATGAATGGTTGTTTGTCTAACTTGTCACTGACTCTTTGTGTCTGAAAGGCAAATGCAGTTTTATGAACCAACAGGACTGGACATAACAGGTGCAACAGCACTGACAGGACACAGAGATTTCTTTCACACACAATTTGTTGCCCTCATGACCTCATTAAAAAACAACTTTGGTCACTTTAAGGCTTCATTTATGGATGGGTTGTTGAGTTTACCTTCATGATGTGTGAACAGTTTTTGGTAACCAGTTATACTTGGTTAATGTTTTCTAATGATACTTTCAACCTTTGAAGTTATGTTAACATTCTAAATTAACTTTTACAGGCTTTTTTTCTGTAAATTATTAAATTAAAAAAGGTGGCAAAAGATATGCATTCCTTCAGTGAGTGCAAGATAGTAACTAATATTT